ACACTGCTGAGATATCACTTCAGCTATTCTTACTCATGAAATGAGAGAAGAGTATTCACTCATTATCTATATAGAATAGCTAGATACTGACTTCTCATTAAAGACATCAGTAATTTGTTTTTCTTCTACTGAAATATATATAAGAGTTACTGTGTTTCTCATACAATCTTCTTAGTATACTAAGTATCACAGCTGTGATATTCTTGCAATAACTCTGTAGTCTATAAGCTGGCTATTCAAGTAAGATAGTTAAGCTCACTTATACAGCTTTTCAACAACTATCTCTATATGACATCACTGACTAGTCACTGCTTCGGTTCCCTCACGTTACAACAAAGCTTATGAGATATTATAAGAGATAAGTAATAAGAATATCAGAAGAAAGTTAAATATACTCTGAACATTAAATTATGATTTAGAAGAATGTATAATCACTGAATAATAACACAGCTACTTCTGAACTTGCTTATAAATGTAAAGAGATTATAGCAGCCATCAATGAATTTAGTATACTGTATATAAGAAGCTGATATACACTAGTAATCATACACTGACTTAAGCAATCTTTGAATCACATCTGATAGTATGTCTAAAAACTGATAAGAAGTACAGACTTATTCAGAATGTAATAATTCTGTTTATAAAGTGATTCATAGTTATGATGTCAGTGTAGTTCTAAAATATCTCAAAACATAGTGTATAAAGAGTAGTGAGTAGAAGAGTATCTAATTAATACTACTCTACTTATTAAGAAAAAACTTCACACTCAGGTGAATACTATGTATGCAAACAGATAGAAGATGAGAAAAGAGAATAAGAGTGATGAATCAGATTTAAAGAAGTCTACTCTCTACTTAAAAGAAGAATAAAAAGAGAGATAATTATCATCAGAATTGTATAATAATAACAGAAAATCAGAAGTCATATTATAATATAATGATATAATAATATAATAATAGACATTGTACAATTAATAAGAAATCACTGAAATAAATATCTTCTTTAATTAATATAAATAATAACACTTTTCTCTGCTATCTGAATCAGAAGATATGCAGAATCTCTCAGAGAATTTACTTAAAACAGAAAGAAAAGCAGCTGAGATTACTGAACTGAAATTGAAGCTCTGTATATATATAAGAATTCTAAATAAGATTGAGATCTTGCATACATAGTAGCAGACTGAGATGAAAGTTAAACAATAATTAACATTCACTATTAATTAAGTATTTACTATGAAGAGCTTCACTGACACAATTGTCACTATTAATAAGAATAGAGAAAACCAGGTTATAGATCTGTATCAGAAAATTAAACATTTATACAGATAGATGATCACACTGAATCTGAAGATTTTATTATAATTATTTACAATCTCACTAGAGATATACACATCATCTAAGACTGCTATGCAGAATGAGAATTCAAGTATAAAATATATCAAGCTAAGTAATCTGCTAAACTTATTAAGCTTCAATAATAACTGTAAAAATAATACTGTAATTAGCTGACTAGACTGACTGTGTGACTGTGTCTGAGATCAGAATTAGATTTTTTAATAGTCTTATTATTAATTCAACTGATCTCATTACACAGTTTTAACATTAAATAGTAGTCTTATACTGTCTCAGTGAGACTTACTATCTACTCTTATTATATTTTTCAAATGAGATCATGATTTTCACTTCTCAATTTAAATTATTTTTATTACTTTAAATAACTTTAAATCTTATTTAAGTATTATTAAAAAGTATTACTTTTTAAAAAATTAAAAACAGTCTAAAAAAACCTCAAAATGTCTAAAAATAGTAACTTTATATTAAGAATGAGACTAAATGAGATCAAATGAGATCACTTTCTTATTTTTTTCAAGTCATGGTTTCATTTTAAGATCTGATATAGACTGACCGTGTGACCGTGTCTGGGACCAGGACCAGATTTTTTGATAGTCTCATTATCAATTCGACTGATCCTATTACACAGTTTTAACATTAGATAGTGGTTTCATACTGTCTCAGTGAGACTTACTGTCTACTCTTGTCACATTTTTCAAATGAGACCATGATTTTCACTTCTCAATTTAAATTATTTTTATTGCTTTAAATAACTTTAAATCTCATTTGAGCATTATCAAAAAGTGTTACTTTTTAAAAAATTAAAAATAGTCTAAAAAAAACCTTAAAATGTCTAAAAATAGTAACTTTATGCCAAGAATGGGACTAAATGGGACCAAATGAGACCACTTTCTCATTTTTTTCAAGTCATGGTTCCATTTTAAGATCTGATATATAGTCACTTTACATGTTTTTTTGATAGCCAGTCCCAGCGGGATTCACGCCAAGAAATGTATGGAACCAGACCAAATGGGATCAAACATGAAATTCATGGTCCCGGCGGCCAGTCTAATCTGATATATAGTCACTTTATATGTTTTTTTGATAGCCAGTCCCAGCGGGATTCACGCCAAGAAATGTATGAGATCAGATCAAATGAGATCAAATGTGAAATTCATGGTCTCAGCGGCCAGTCTATCCGTGACACTCATTCCGACAGAATCAATCATCTGAGTTCGAATGATAGTTATCAGTTCAAATGAGGATTGAGATCAGTGTATCACGCTTCTATTCAGATGCTGCTTACTGAGCTCATAACTGTCAGAATGGTATCTCAGATGAATATGTTGAAAACATATGAATCTTAAGTGTATCAAGATCTGCTTCTTGTATTATCTGTACACTATCTATCATATCTAATTCCATACAAAAGATAGAGCTATTTATAGTACAACAAATGTGCGAGCTAAGAGAGCTAGCATTAGTGAGTATTAGACGAGTTTTGTAGTAAGCTGATGATAAGAAAAATAGTAGTAATATGATGTTGGTGGCGTTCATAGTGTATGACCTCTTATTTCCTGGCACCACTCTTGCTACTTCCCAGGGCTTCTGCTCCTCTCTTCTTCCGCTTCTTTCTTCTTCCGCTTCTTCCTTCTTTCACTCTTTTCTTCTTCCGCTTCATTCTTATTCCCCTATCTAGACAGGGCTTCTACCTCTTCCTTCTCAGAGCTTCCGCTCCTTCCTTTTGTAAAGTCAACCATGGTAAACAGACAAGCATGTACTTATATATATAAGGGCGCCCGCTCATCTCCATCTTAAAGGAATGAGACAAGATTTATCATTTTACACGTACTATACACGGTTGCCGTACGCTGCAATTGGCGTACGCTGCAGTTTTACTCATTTTTTTCATCTATATAATTGCTCTTTATTAATCACAGCAGATTATGTGAAATTCATCAATATGAGTCATGTGTAGCTATTATTTGCAAGCATAGGCAAGCGATTAAGGCTTGTAGAAATTATATGCAACATGCGCCAACAAAACGCTCCAGAATATATATCGCTGCATATACGTGCATATGCGTGCATAAAACCGTGTAGCCATGAAGCGATCCGTTAGTCATGAGGTATGAGACCGATTCCAAATCTGGAAACCGCGCCAGCACTCCAGTGCTTGGGGAAACAGACGGGTAGGTTCCAGGGTTGAAATAACCGGATTCGCATGCAACCAAGAAGCCCAATTAGGGCTAGTATAATCTATTATTAGACCACTAGATAAAAGAGGACTTAGTGTTACCCTATTAGCGAATGAACAATCATACTTTAAATTTAGGGTACGGCTTCTTCGGGAGCGCCCGCTGAGCAACCACATTTCTTCCCGATTTAGCACAACTCATTGCCCTACTGTTGCTGCGTCATTTGGACTGCTTCAGAAATGATACATACAACCATTGTTTCTGAATAACACAAGTTTCCCTGAGTCAATGACTCTTGTCTGAGCTTCGGACAGAACTCTCAACCCCTCTGTTATTGTAAATATCGGGAAACCGCTGAGCTCCTGAGGACATTTTAGGAATCAAGTTAAGTTTTCTACGGGAAGGTTGGATATCACGCAACGGCACCCTTCCGGGAGGAAGTGACAGAAGAGCCTCAGGTGTTTCAAGATCCTTGCCTCAACGGCTTCGAATCCTTAGCGCAGGCTTCTCATAAGCTAAATTATGCACATATCTTGAAAGGTCCCACCATCCACGACCTAGGAGGCACAGATTATCCACGTTGCCAAATGTGGAGTTCCGACGTTCGTATCTGGCTCTGCAACATTCGTGGCCGATTGCTCAGTTGCAGCTAAATCAAGAATCTCGACAAGCAGCTCCCCCTTGTCATGCATGGTGGCTGCAGACCATACTACATCCAGCAAAGCGGAAGCATAATAATAGCAACACAGGACATTTGAGCCAAGCCTTATGTAGCATAACTAATCTTTTTTTAGTTTTAGAGTTAATTTTGACGAACCCAGACTAGACTTGTCACATCAACCTTGATGTTTCAACTCCAAACCGCCCTTCCTCTCAACCGTGGAACACTCGCTGCGACCGCTCGGTCCGATCATTGGTCCATGAGCCGATCACAGATCCTCCCTTATTCAAAACGGTTAGTTCTCAGCGCCTCAGCCGCAAATGTTCATTGGGCTTTACTGCGCAGATGGCGGGTTTCCATTTTGAGCCATGCTTCAAACCACTGCAGCTAGCCTGTTTTTTAGCGCTGTGGTTCAGGTACACTACACGCCACTACGTTGAGTTCCTACATCGAGGTTTGACAATCACTTCTAAAGGGGCTGATCTTGGCCAGCCTCATAGCTATATATCTTGCTGCGCATTTCACCTGCTTTAGGATTATCCGTATGGTCTTCTACCGAACAGGTGCTGGTCGACTATTCAAAACCCTGTCCTCGCCGCTAACATTATTATATTTCTATTTTTTCTCTTGTGGCCCCTACTTATCTTGCACCACCTAGACTATGTATAGTTGGTGACCCAATTGTATCATCTATACTTCGCTTCTTCAGCCCGTTCGCAGAATTAGCCCCAAATCTTCTAGACTCTAGATTTGAGACATCTGCACTCTTATTTATCATCCTGCTCCATCCTAACCCTCGAAACAATCATGGCTAGGGCGTCGCCGAAATCGCGCCAAGCTTTTAAGGATCGGCATGAATCTGCTATAAGGACTTCACCATCCCGGCTCCAGGGCTTTAATCCCGCTTCCACCTTCACACATATACGTAGCAGGCCTCTGCCAGCAATAGTACACTCTCAAAGCAACCCCCCTGCGCCGAATTCATTGACAGCACATCTTGGTTCACCAAATGCTATGTCAGCCAATATGGCTTTCAACCCAAGGCACCAACGGGCAGTCTCCGATATAGGCCCAATGACATACACCCCAAGAACAGGAAAAGTGAGCAAAGCGCTAAAAGGGAAAAAAGTTCATCAATGCCAGTACCCAGGGTGTGAAAAGGTATGGAAAATATATATTGTCCTTCACCTACCTGTAATAACTTGCTGTTAACCTGAATATTCTTACTCTTAGCTTTTCTCAAGAGCGGAACATGTACGGTGGGTTTTCTCTTGTATACGCTTCATTGTATGTGAACTGCTCTAACATTCTTTAGACGACATGCATCAAACCATAATCCAGTCGCCAGTATTAAATGTAGTGTTGAGGGATGCGGCAAGGCATTCAAACGGAAAGACTTGTGCGTTCGTCATATGGAAAAAAAGCAGTATGTGTTGTTCTTATCACTCATAGCCATTAGCTTTGCTAACTTGTTACTTCAGCAACGATAAGTTGAACGCACTTCCAGGAAACACTCGCCGTGAAACTCACATCCAATTGAGCCCGGTATCAATGACTTCAGAACCACAGGGCTTAATGTCACCTATATCATTAAATCAACAACACACATCTGTTCCAGCCGTTCCCCATGATGGGGATTTAATGTCAATCGGCTCCCTTGTGCAACCGGGGACCCAGCACCATTTCGCGAACGATTATTCTATGCCTGTATGGTGTGAGCCGGAACGGGGACTAGTTAGAGGGGACTTGTTTTCCGATTCACCGCAAGTAAATGCCGACGATACAATGGTATATTCTTCACCTGACAGCTGTCGATCGCCCGCTTCTGATATAAATCCTTTTCAATTCCCACAACGTACGCCTATTATGGACCAATCTTACTCTGAATCATTTTACCATCCACAAACGCATACATCATGCTTTAAAATGACCCCTACAGCTCCCGACTGGACTCCTCTTCAGGCAGGAACTTCTACTTCCCCGATGTTGCCTATCTCCCTTGAAGGTGATATCCTTCAAACAGTAGGTGAACCTTCCATTCGTTGTCGTTATGGGAGAACTAGAATTAACATTCTGTTAGCCCTACACGTACCAGTACCCTTCGCCCCACTGGACAGAAATGAGTGGTATGCCCTGCGACGAGAACTTAATTTCTCCCCCGGAGTCATTCTCCGAAATGACGGCATGGAGATAACCGACACTGCCCAATGGCAGGACTGCCTTGAGTGCTATTGGAAGCACTTTCACCCTATCTTTCCGATTGTCCATCGCCCAAGCTTTTGCGCCGTAAACCCAATACCGTTAATGTCCGGTGCCATGGTAGCGATAGGATCGCAGCATGATACATGACCCAATGCGAAAGAATACTCTCTACTTCTTTTAGAAGCATGCCTCAAGCTTCTCGCCTAGGTAAAATGCACTGGCGAAAAAAGTCCCCTTGAAAAGATGCGGACGTGAATTCAGAGAAACCCAATTACAATCCGTCCTCAGATTTCTGATATCCAAGCCGTTTTTTTTTACTCGAATACCTCTCAAAATACCGATCTAGGAAGGCTGATGTTACCTTATCTCCATGGTTTAAATCTTTATACGGAACTGTGAGCTTTCCTCAAATGGCTCATTGTGATCATTGCTAATATCGGGCAGGGTAGTTTATCCAAAACCGCCATTGGATGTCAAAAAACCCACTCGCTATTTTTAATACTTTTTCCGAGGATGAGAAGCGGTTTTATCTAGAGAAAGCATATAGCTTTTAGGTGCAAAATAAAACCTGACGGCGGATATTACAAGCCGCTTTCCGCCTTAATGTTCAGCAGACGACCCTGTTTCAGCAAGCAGCCTTTGGCATTCCTTATCCGAACGCCGCGATCCAACATTCGAAATGTAGAACATATCGACTTACCATTCCCTTGCCAAACCGAATTATGGGAAAGTTCTGGGATTGAAGAATGGGCTGGATACTCCAGGGCATCAAAGTCACTAACTCTCTCCTCTGCTGCAAGGCGAATTATTCGCCAAAATGACAGCACACTGAAACTTGATACATTTCAATCAAACCTGATTCTTTCCTATTCTTTGCTTACGAATATGCGATCGATAGATCTGGAGCAAACGCTAGAGGCTTTTATTAGGAGGATGAAGCAGGGGACGGTCGCAAAAGAACTCGTACAATGTAGTGAAGCATGCGGCCCTGTAACCCATCCAAGCCAAACACTCTTCGCATATCACGCACTCCTCGCAGCATATCGTGCTCCGCTCAAAGCTATTCTAATAGTTAGCGGCGAATCTTGGCTCTATAATGGGAAACTCACGGACCAAGCAGAATATCACCAATATCACCAGGCCAAGATTCACCAGGCCAAGAAGGCATTAAGTTTGTGGGGTTCTGACACAGTTTGAACTGAAAAAGGGAGTTTGGCATGCGCTACGGGTTTTGGAATATGCTATCCATCATCCAGTATTGGGACATACTCCAGGGTTAATTTCTCCAAATACGGGCCTCTCATTAAACGTTCATGCGCAATCCGGTAACGATATACACCGAACCGAAAACGTGTATTCTACACCTGGGTCTCAGATTGAACAGCGTGCGATACTGTCACAGTCCAATGAAGCAGGTCCAATAACAGCATTGCACGCCAATTGGACACTGTATGTTTGCGCCCTTATATGCTGGGCCTATGGCGCCGATACTTCAACGGCATCAACAGCAAGTAACTGCCCTCCATTTTCCCCTGCAGCCTCTCCAAGAACATATGTATCTACATTGAAGCTGCTTGCTCCATCACGGCCCCGAATTTCGCGCAGGTAAGATACCTCATTACATAAGACGCGATACTCGCGGACTGCTTGAATATATACGCACTTAGTGCTAACAGGGTGACTGACTTTTTCTTAGCCTTGACTTTTATACTTTTTCTTATTTGAGATATTGTGTTTCTTTTCTTTATGATATACACTCGCCGTGATGCTAAACAATTTCCTGTTCTGGCCCTCGACGAGGGCCGTTCTTACTCTCCACTTTTTGTTTTCTCTAATTTTTCTTTCTGATGGTATTCTTCTATTTTTTTTCTCCACGTTATGCATTCAGGAGGTTATGGTTTTGGTTCTTAAGGGCCTGTTCGGTGACCCCGTCCAGGGGCGTATAAGTCCGTACAGTGCCAGCTTGTACGGCCCTGGACAGCTCTGGCCGGGGTTATACATGCTAACCTGGCCGGATAAGGCCTTCTGTTCAGTAGATTCTGTGTATAACTTCATACAACTTGTCAAGCATGCCAAGCTGACAGTTAGATTCATATTATAGAGTTCAATAGTGTATTTAGTTGAAAAAGTGATAGATTTAAATCTATTTAAGTTAAATCTGTACTGTATACACTGAAATGAGTTGTGATATCTGCTGACATGTTTCAGCATGGCTGTACAGCATTCAGAGATCTGCAAATATCATCAAAAATCAACAATTATAGTGAGCAACTGTGATAATGCAATCTGAGAGATAATATAACAATATCTATGTCATAGACAGCAGTTAATAAGACTTGCTGCTGCAGAAGTGATCAATCAGAGCATCTTAACTGTCTCACCTAGTATATAATTCATGTATGACAAGCTTCATGACTGAGATTCAATCAGTTTGAACTCAGACAGCTTGCTAAGCTCACTGAAAGACTCACTGAGTGTATGATATAAAGATGTACTGAGTGTATGATATGAAGACACACTGAGTATATAATGAAGAGATTCACTGAGTGACTCAGATAATCAATATTGAGAATTCAGACTACTGACTCTCACTTATTATTAATTCATTAAGATATTGTAATACTGAATCAATTTAAGACTTGTTAAGATTTATTTTTCACTGATATTTAATATATAAAGATAGATAACAGAATTTTTAAACTGCTATATATCTGCTGAAATAACATGATAGTTATCATTATAAAAAAATGACTTATAAGAAACAAAGTAATGCTAAAATATCAAGCAGACTACTATTCATATAAGAAAAGATGTGTAAGAGGCCTACGCCGAATAGATCATTATAATAAATAGAACTTATATAACAAAGAGAAAAACATTAAAGAAGGAAAAGAAAGAGAAAGTGTGAGAATCAGTAATTAAAGTGAATATTTATACACATATATGATAATGTATGCAGTGAAGTTTCAGAGTGAAAGAATCTATACATGTTTATAGCAGCTGAGAATCAGTAATTAAGAATGACTGAGAATCAGAGTATATGTGTAATCTGTGAAGTGTAACAGAGTAGTCTATATAATTGATCAGACATAGTCTGTTACATTAGTTCTTCTCTTTTCTGATCATGTGTAGTCTCAGATAGTGTGAAACTCAGAGTTCAGATCAGCTAATTATAACTGACTTATTTCACAAGATATTATCAGCTGCAGCTGCAGAGTCTCTTATGAAGAATATCTTCAATCTCTTACTCAAGCTTATTATCTTCTTCTATAATCTCTGATGACTGTTAGTTGAAAGTCAGTTGAGAAGAGAACAGATCAGTGACAGTGTGACAGAGTAAGCTTATATAGAAGATGTTATAAATCTCTGATAATATATCAAGACAGTATTTATAACTATCTAAAACTTTCATCACTTTATACTTGATATAACAGTAATTCAGGGTATGAGATAAACATGTGATCTGTATATTCTTAAGATTCAATTATACTAAGACTTCTATCTTATATTACTTAGCAGAATCTCAGTGAACATTGATTTAATTCTCTTAATTCTGTTTTACAGTTATTATGAAGATCTCTGCTCAGTTACAGATATCTCAGAGCTTCATTACTATATTATCAGCAATCTGAATTGAACTACAGAGATTCAGTGTGAAATATGTGATTTTCAGAAGATTCAATACTTTTATGTGATAACTGTGTATAAGGAAGAACAGACTTACATCTGTTGAGACAGCATTTCAGCTGTTAATAGCAATCTCTGTGTGTAGAAGAAAATCATATCAATTGTGACAGGCTGCGCCCGTTCAATGATATAGACTATTCTGTTACACTTCACATATTTCAATCACTTCATTCTTGAACGCGTACGCTCCGATTCTCAGCCATTCTCAATCATCAATTCTCAGCCGCTATGAATGTGTATAGATTCTTCCACTCTGAAGCTTCACTGCATACACCACTACATATGTGTATAAATATTCACTTCAATCACTGATTCTCACACTTTCTCTTTCTTTCCTTCTCTAATGTTTTTCTCTTTGTTATATAAGACATATCAATATCATACTGATCTATTCAGTGTAGGTCTCTTATACTAGAAAAACATTTATCATCTTCTTATTAGAAATAATTATTCACATATCATCTTCTTATTAGAAATGATTAGACTGACTGTGTGACCGTGTCTGAGATCAGAACTAAACTTTACAGTTATCATGTTATTTAAAAGCATTACTTCTGATCATGATTTGTATTTATCACATTGATCTCAAATCATGTTATTTCAAATATTAAAGATCTCAGATTCACTTTTCAAATAAAAATCTAGTTTTAGATAAAGAATATATTTAAATTCTTAGTCACATTTTCATTCTGATCTCATTATTGAGAATGATATTAAATAAGATTATGAAATCATTTCTCACTTACATAATATTATAACATAGTGCTCATTTGTTGAAAATTCAACAGAGAATATTATCAAATATTATTACTTTTCTAAACACAGATTATAATTCATATAATTTTAATTATGAAAAAAATATAAAATACAAAAAAAATAAAAAATAAAAAACAAAATAAACACAAGAAAAAATCACAATAAAAAAAAAAAAAGAGAAAGAAAAAAAAATAAAAGAAAAATAAAAAAATAAAAAATAAAAATAAAAAAATCAAGATTGCAGAGCTGCAGTACTTTTAAAATACTCACTTCTCAGAGTTTTTGTAATATTTATTATTAACTGAGTATTTCTCACAGTGAGAGTAACACAGCTGTGATAAGTTATTATCTTAATATTATTTAATAAATAATCAGTATATATCTGTATAAATATGAATAATTAGAAAATATACACTTAAAAAGTTTGATCAGAGTGAACTCTGTTGTCACTTAAATAATATCAAGAACAGAATACTGAAATTAATGATTCTCTTCATCAATTTCATAGATAAGGTATACAAAGATGATCTTGAAGAATATAAGATCTCTTAACTTCTGATAAAACTGAATCTTACAAAGAGACTCTATTTTCATAATATCAGAGACTGAGTGTTATCAAAAAGTGTTACTTTCATACAATGCACATGCACTTACTGCAGCAATTCATTCTCTATATATATAACTGAGAATTATAACTTTCTTACACTGCACAGCTCTCTCTGAGATGCTGCTGTCAGTTTGCAACTCACACAGTCTCTCAGTTCAGTACACACTGTATATATACAGCTCTGTATGCTGAAGCTGTGTTGATCATTATAGTCTGATATGATACTCACTTTTCATGAGTCATATTTCATTTAAGAAGAGGAGAAAAGACATGACTGTTATTTTATTGAGAAAGAAATGAATAATTAGTATTATTAAATGTAATTTAATTCATCTGTATTTAAAATTTGATTAGTCTATACTCTTCAATTTGAGGATTTCTATGAGTATTTTAATAGTTTTCATACCAGCTTGAACTTAGTGATGAGTTGAAGAAGAAGAGAAAAGAGAGAAGAAAGAAATGAGAATAACTTATCTTTATAATATGAAAACAGAGAATCACTGTAATTATTCTTTCTAGTAACAAAGATCTGTTTTCTGCATGTATTTCTGATATAGATTATATGATAAATGTATACAAAGAATATCAATAGTACATGCATTGAATGAAGATAATATTGCTATGTAATACTGTAGTTATTTCTGTACATCTCTGAAAGCTGTTAATAGTTTCTTTGTCTCTTTATGTTTAATAAGTTAATAATATATTTCAATACACTTCTTCTTTCATCATCATCATCATTATCATCATCATTATCATTATTATATTATTGCCTGTCTTCACCTCTCTCTCAATACTTATTAAAATCAATTATGTCATTTCTCTTCAAATATTCTGCAGTCCTGCAGACTATCAAGGCGCGTGAGCATCATCACAGATTGAAGAAAGAGAAGAAGAAGATGTTTAAGCACAGAGAGACAGATTGTATAATATGTTATAATACCTTGAAGAGACTTTATAAGAGAGTAGAATAATAATGATTTTAAGTAATACTTCTGATAGATTTAGACTGAACTAAGTATAGAAATAATGCAGATAACATCACCTGTGAGAGATTTAAAAAGAAGATAGTGAAGAGTCTTATACAGCAGCAGTGAGATCAGAAGAAGTTCTGAGAATGATTTAAGATCAAGATGAAGAGAGAGAGAGAGAAGAAGAGTATTACTGTAAATAAGCAGCAGCAGAAGAAGATTGAGAAGATATTAAAATGAGAGATAAAAAAGTCAAAACTGATAAGTTTTTTATTGAGAGATAACAATTTTTGATAATACTTCTATTCTCTAATTAATTAGCAGAAGCTGACAGAGAAGAGAATTGAGACCTTATTCAGATCTTGAATGCACTTCATGATTCAGAATATTGAGAAGATAGCTCTGATCTCTGAGCATGTCAATCTGCTTACTACTGAGATGAAACCTAAGACAGCAGATAAGAAAATGCAGGATTTTAAAGCACAGATTGATCTAGCTGAGAGAAAGTAGCAGAAACTCTTCTCTGAGAAGACAGCAGAGAGAGATTTTAAGATGATTACTATCTCAGATAAGGAGAAGAAGAAGAAGAATAAAAATAAGAAATAAATTATGAAGAATGATGAAAAGAATGAGAAAGAGAAGAAAGATAATGAATAGAAAAAGTTTTTTTCTTTTTATATTAGTTAGTTATAAGTTTGTAACTATTAGTTAATAATTGAAATTAATTTTAAGTTTTCAAAAATTATTGTACAAGTTGTAATCAATTATCAATATCAGGAATAATATATATATATATATTCAACTATCATGTCACTATAATGTATAAATATCAACATTTTTTCAATATTAATATTTATAATATTAATATATTTTTAATGATATCATCTAATAATGCAATTTGATAATGCTCTGTTTCATAATATTAATATATTTCAAGAAATATGACAGAGATTAATCAAGATTGTTTATTTACTTTTATACATCAATAATATTCAATCTGAGTTAGTACTAAAATTATAACTAAGCTAAGAAAGAAGATTATTTTCTCTTATATTAATTCTTCTTACACATATCAGTGATTAGTTATTGAAAATAAATTATTATGTTTCTTAAA